ATGTCTTTTATTAGTTCTCAAATCCTCCTCTGTTCTCAGAGTAGCCTGTCTCATTCCAACTCTAGTTCTTAATGTTATGTTCTCTTAAATAGTTTACAGGAAAGAGAAAAGAAAACTGTTAACCGAAAAGACCTTTTCTAAAGTTAAATGCTTCCTAAGGGAAATTCTAAACATGTGAGGAAGACAGCTTAATATAGTTTAGGAAGTATAGGAATATGTTAATCACTGAATCATCCTTTTCTATTCAAGAGTTAACAAAACATCATTTGTCTAGAATTTGTCTTGGATTATTAACTATTGACTCAAGTTCACGTTTTCTATTAGCCATTTAATCACTATGCCTCCTCCCTTGAAAAAGAGCATGTTTTATGAAGTTTATTTGGTTTTTATATTCATTCAATGTTGAGTCTTCCTTAAGGAAGTTGGCAGAAAAATTTACTAGAGAACATACTAGCATATATTAATATACTCAAAGGTAGAGGGTTTCTGATTGCTGTTTTTTATAATCATCTTTTCTCATTTGTATCATGTAAATGTGTTTTATGGCAATAAGACTGTCCAATGTTTTTGTTCCCTCTGCCACACATTAGAAAAATAAGAGTTGTCTTGGGTGGGCCACACATTAAATATACAAACACTAACAAAAGCTGAAAACTAATTAGGAAAAAAAGGTCCATGCATACTTTTCGAAATATCCAACACCACAGATAAGCAAAAAAAGTCCTCACAAAATCAGCATGTGGCCCATGGGCCACAGGTTAGAAACCTCTGGTTATTCTCTGAAGTGCCTGAAGTAGATTAATTTTTGCAGGCTATGGAGGTAAATACTGTAATAGAATCCTAGGAAAAGCTGTTGATGTTTGCAGCTTTTTTGTTAATCTCTTCAATTTTGATTTAATCAGTATTCTGAAATTTCCATTCCCCTGAAATTTTGGAAATGGTGGAATCTGCCACATTTCAGAGTTGTTATTCCATTTTGGGGGTTTGGGGTCTTCTGTGTGTTTTCTCTAGGTGCACTGTTTGAAATAGTTAGAAAAGTGAAAATAGTACTCCCAGTTCTGTCAGTAATTTTAGGCAAATCACTGAATGTCTCTGCTCCTGTTTTTTATCTGCCAAGTGGGGAAGGCAAAAATCTGTCCCTTCTGCTTTGGGAAATTCTGAAAGAGGAAAGTTAGGTTGCTAGAAAACTCTTTAAAAAGTTGAAACCATCATTTTCTGTTTGTAGGTTGTTAAAACCCTGATCAGCTTTTGTGTGTTTCACTTGTTAAGTCTTTTAAAGTTTATATTCATTGGTTCAGTCATCTGTACGAGGCATTATATAATGTTATAGATATGTAATTATTGTTTCTCAAGGAACAAAAAAATCACACTAGTTCCTTATCTCACTCTTTTCTTTCTGCATATTTACATATGTATCTGCGTCCATGTGTATCCTCTCCTGAAAGCACCCATTGCTGCAAAGCATAGAGTTCTGTATACTCACGTGCTCACACACAGAGGCATACTGCTTTAGGGTAGGCTGTTTTCTTTTCCCTACATGCCATTCTTGTTTAATTTTATAATAACATTTTCCACAAAATAATTAACTCCAATTTAATGAACTTTGGATTTTACTCTATTAATAGAAACAATATTGTATTTCTTTTTCTAAATGCTTAATACCCTTTTAAATGTTAGTTACGATAATGGGGGAAATTTGAAAGTTACAGCTCTTGATCAGTGGTAAATAATGTACCATTTTCTTTTTTTTTGTTTGTTTTTGTTTTTTGTTTTGTTTTGTTTTTTGAGACAGGAGCCTCAAGCTTGTCCCCCTGGGTAGAGTGCCATGGCATCTCAGCTCACAGCAGCCTCCAACTCCTGGGCTCAAGCGAGTCTTCTGCCTCTGCCTCCCAAGTAGCTGGGACCACAGG